TAAATTTTAGTTTTAGTTGTGGTTGTAAGTCAAGGACTACCTTATTTGATTTTTATTATTAGAGCTTTTCAGCTGCAAGGGCAGTGTCCTCAGCTTAGCATCCATTGCTATTGGCAAGACTAAAAATGTAATAATTTTCTTACAAATCTCGACTCCTTCACTAAATTTAAGATAGCAAATAAGATACTACCAATTATGCTAAAAGGCTATTCACTAACGTAAGGTTTTTCTTGGTTGGATGAACTCACAGATACTGCGTTTTTATTAAAGCCATTCAAATTTGACTTTTTTTTCCTTCCAAAAATGAAGAATGCGGTTCCTGAACAACCTACACAGTGTAACTATTTGACTGGGCCGGTCCCATTTAAATGAATAATGGGTTTAAAACGTATCAGAAAGCAACTCCATTCAATTTCCATTATCCAAGAATGACGACTCCTTTTATATTTGAGGAGCTCGAAGCACTAAACATCTGGCCGCTACCTTAAGCCAGCCGTTTGCAGTGTTGCTGGAAACAAAGTTTTGCTGCAAAAAAAAAATCCCGATTTTTAACCTAGGCGAGGGAGGCGGCGAGGAACCGGGCGTGAGGGTTTTGAGACGACGGAGGAAAAGGGCCCAACCGCCGAATTCCCGCCTCCCTCCCTTCGGCTGCGGCCTAGACTTTCCTCGCCCGGGGCCCCCCGACCCCAGGCCACGCCCCGTCCTTACCCGCCTTTGGCCGATTGAAGCCCATGATGCGATTGATCCGCTCCTCCGAGTTCATCAGGAGCTTTCGTCGGCGGATCTCGGCCCGCCGCTGAGAGGCGGTGAGTCCGCTCAGCGGTGGGGAAGACCCACCGGTTCCTTCGCGGTGGCTGCTACCATACCCGTCCCCTTCCACAGGATCTGCCTCCATGACCCGTCGCTCGTCGAAAGAGCCGCGAACACTTTCAAGGCTTTTCTCTCCTCAAATAATACAATGGAAATCACCAGCCCTCCCCCCGCCCTCTCCGACAGCCACCCTCTAACGCGCAAGCGTAACTGACGCCATTTGAGGACCGCCTTCGGACGCTGAAACGAGCGACGCCATCTTAGATGAGGGTCTCCCTGTTAGAGCAAAAGCGGCAGCGCGGTGACGGCGCCGGTTTAAAGCCGTTGTACAGAAGCCGCCGACCCTAGCAAAAGATGGCGGAGAAGGCTTCGGGAGTGAAGCGGGTGAAAAGGGCTGAAGTTGAATATGATCTCATCGGTTAGGGGAAAAAATCATAATCGCTTCCGTCATGGTCAGCTCCGGGCTGCTTCAGGCGGGGCTCCGCGGATTTCAATTGGCAGTCACCTGACCGCGGGAGTTGATGGTTTATCCCCCAAATAATTAAGGACACACCAAAAGTATTTTCCATTCTAATCCCAAAAGGCAAGGATTTTGTTTTCCTAGCCTTTGGCTTGCAGGCTTATTTCATTTTACTCATCTTTTATATTGATTTTTTTTAAGTGATTTTGTGCTAGACTTGTTTTTTATTAGTTTATTAAAATGGTTTAGATTTATTTGGTGTTTTTCATGTTTTTTCAATGTCCTGTTTTTACTGAGTTACATGTTTTGCGAACCATAGAGCTAATGTACTTTAAATAAAAAATGCCACAAATGTAATGTTTTGTAATACTTTTGGATATAAGTGGTTAGGAATTATTTATTATTAATTTTGAGTGCTACAAATAAATTCCAATATATAGGCATGGTTTGGAATAAAGAATGGTGAGGCAAAGAAATAGGAAGTGGAAGCAGGA